GTGTGCCCACTTACACACACACACACACACACACACACACACACACACACACGTGCGCGCACACAGAGAGACCGAGACCACAGAACCAATGAGTCAAGAGATCAAGCTTGCTATGCTTCGGGACAATGATATAAGAAGAAAACGAAGTGTGGGTGTCAAATACATGAACATCATCCATCAATGTACTGTTGATGGGGTCGAAGAAGCTTGTTCCAAGTTTTATAAAAGCCACTAGCAATAAAAGGTGCGGGCAGATGAATTAATGTGGTTGAAACAAGGGCAGTTGCCGTAATTACTGTACATGGCCTTGTCTCTATAATGGGAATAGTTACACAGCTCAAAGAAACTGATCTACAAAGTGACCTGCCTGATGTTGAAATCTGAGATTGCCTGATGAGCTGAATCATTCACATCGTCTTATCTCGGAGCGAGTGACACCTGGTTTTCATTAGCTATGACCTCATGGGAGCCTGCTGGGATTCCATCTGTTTGGACAGTAGGCATCAAAATTATGGAGTGTTGGAAAATAAGCAATCAGCTAATTAGGGTTGTATGTCCAACATGAGTGGGTTTCAGCATGGAGAGAACACAGAACTGGTGGCTACTGGCTACTTAGCTGAGTTATTATTCCTTCAAAATGAGTGATATGTGTGGAATTCTGAAGCCAAGAGACCTAATGCATGCAGTGCCTCCTAATTCACTATGGCCTGGCTGTCTATCTCCTTTGGCTGAGGCCAGAAGTTTAAATGTGGCTGGGCATCTACAATATCCAGCACAAGTGATGTTTCACTCTTCTTATAACTGTCCGGGAGGGGGCAGAAGATCCTACAAAGACAAACTGATGTGTGACTCTCCACTATCAGAGACAATGGATCCCAAGAAAGTGCAATTTCCCTCAATGAGTCTCGAGCTAGAAGGAAAGGCTGATGCCTGGCGCCAGCAGTGGGGAGGGGAGGAATTTATCTCCTGGAAAGAGATTTCACACAGTTCTGACAACTTGTAAGACCATCTTGCAGGAGAGACTAGAGCTGAGAAAATGATGATGGGCAGGGCCACAACTTGCCCAGGACTGCTTAACTGTGCACATCTCTTACCATCTGTTTAAACCTCACGTCAGGACCCTGAAGATGGACGTAGGGTGCTATCACTGGACCTATTTATTTGTTCTTCTCCACAATATGGCCTCTTTGCATAATCTTTCTCTATTTTCACCACTGCTTGTGTTAGGGCTGGACCCTATCAACCCAGGAATGTTTTGACTGTCTTATAAGCCCATCCCTAAAGGAAGGAGCCCTGAACTGTTGTTGTGACATGGCTGTTACCAGTGCAGTATCAGACACATGGCAAGCAGCAGGAAGTGGCTGTAGGAGCCCATAGTGAAGGCTGTACTTTGGGGGCCTGATTTAAAAAGCATTTGTAGATGGCAAGGTGGTTAATGGCTCAGAAGGTCATAGGTAGGGAGGAAACTACTACTATTATCTTGCTAAATGGACACGTCAAACTGCCTTCTAAATAGTTGCATTTATACTACTTTCACACTTAGTCAGAGAAGTGTCTTTTCTGGGTACATAGCAATGCAGACTCTGAACTGGTCAAAGCATTGGGAATAGGTGACTATGGAGTGCTCTCCCCTAAATGGACATCTATAGGAAGCCCTCCTTCATTAGACACAGGGGACACTGGGGAGAACCAGGAGAAATGTAAGAACTCTATCAGAGCCAGTGGATGGGGAAGAGTGCTGCGAAACACTGTCTTCTGGATATGACATGGCTGTTGCACTCATGAACTCACTGTAGCTATGGCTATCTGGACACGACCCGCACAAGGTCAAGCCATTCAGCATTCCAGCAGGCAGCACTAATTAGACAAAAGGAGAGGGCGTGAAGGTGGAAGGGTTGTGTTGGGGGTGTGTGGATTGGGAGTAGGTGGGTAGAGATGGGTGAGATAGGATCAGTGTGTAAACCCATCACATGTGTAAACGCACTCAACTGTCAGGTGCTCCAAATGAGTTGGTTAAAGCAAAAGTTGCAGTTCCGTAACTCAATTCAAGTGGGTGGACTAAGACAATGGTGGAGGGGAATATAGAAAGAGAGGCCCGTCCTGAATCTACAGCCCATGCTGAGTGATGCTGACTTTAGGTTTTCTTGGTATCTGTGTCTGTTCTGATGCCAAAACCCAGAAATAAGTCCAGCTCTTTCAATAAAAACTGGAATGCAATAGATGTGTGTTGATTGACTTTACAGAGCAAGTCAAACAAAGGTGGTTTCCTCATTTTGCCGAATGCAAGAGAAACCTGGTGTGTGATATGGAAGTAACAGATCTCAGAGTTCAACAAAATAGGAAAGTTGTAAGACAGCAATAAAGGAAAGAAGGAAAAAAAACTGGACTAACAAACAGACCCTCATAGCTGTATTGCCCTCCATTTTATTTTCTCTTACTTGTGTGTGTGTGTGTGTGTGTGTGTGTGCGTGTGTACATGCGAGTGTGTGTGTGTGCTATCTCTATATGCAGGTGACCACAGAGGACAGAAGGTATGGGATCTCCTGAAGCTAAAGTTCATGGCTCCTATTGTTAGCCTGATATGGGTGCTGGGAACCAAACTCAGGACCTCTACAAGAGCAGCAAGCATTTTTAACTGCCATGCAATCTCTCCAGACTCTTGTCCTGAATTTTAATGCTACTGCAAGGTAAGTAACTGACTTTGTCATAACTAGTTCTGTGTACCAGCTCCTAACACAAATGAAAAGCAGCATCCTACATGGAGATCAGGAGTCAAGAGCAAGTGTTTCTCTCTCTCTCTCTCTCTCTCTCTCATAAACGCACACACACATACACAGAACATAAAGTAACGTGCATTCTTTACTCTCCTCAGACATTCCACAATGCATGTGCTTACCAAAGCATCACGTGACATATCACACATATGTACGATCTTTGTCAGTTAAAAAGGAAGACACAGAGCTGAGGAGATGGTTCATTTGGTAACATGCTTGCCTTATGACTTCCAACCCACAGAACATTAAAAACAAAAACTGGAAGTGGTGGTATACATCTGTAAACCCGGTGCTGAGGAGATAGAAATGGGAGGGTCCCTGGGCCTCACTGGCCAGCGTCCAGCCTAATTGGTAAGTTGCAGATTTAGTGAGACCCTCTTTAAAAAGTAAGGTCAACAGCCATGAAGGAAACCATATGGCTTTCAAATGCACACACACCCGCAAACAGAACAAAACAAAAAACCAACCAACCAGGTGCCAAGGGAAGAAGAATTCAGATTTTACATGACTAGAAGTCATGCCAGATGCTTTATCATAAATCAAATTAGACTGGTGACCTGATTCTAACTCTAAAATACAACAGTATTTGAATGTCCTCAACACATTTGAATGTCCTCAAATAAGGACAAAACAAAATACAAATATGTCCCTTACGCTTCCTGAGTGTCTTCTGTCAGCTAGGCCCTCTCTAAAGCCATTCTGCTGTAAAGCTGGGCATCCCCAGGCCATCCTGATGGTAGAGAGAGGTCTTTAAAAACAAACAAACGTCCAACTGGAAGAACTTGAGGGAACAAGTTTAGGCTGCGTCACAGAGATTAAGAAGTGGCTGAAGAGCAAGGGTGACTGATGTCCCTGGGTAGTGACCTTTCAGAAGTAGCCATCCCTCCTGCAGCTGTCACTAGGGATGTGTACGACAATGGGCCTTACTGAGAGTCACTTGTAGGGTCTGATTGTGATAAAGGGGTCAGTATTTCTGGCTTTGCTTACCGTTGTAATGAAAATCCTGACAAGAGCAACTTAAAGGAAGGTAGGGCTGACTAGGCTCAAAGTTTGAGGACACAGTCCACCACCGCGGGGAAGGCACGGGCAGCTGGTCACATGACACCCACTGCCAGGAAGCAGAGAGAGATGAATGATGGTGCTAAGCTCTCTTTCTTCTGTTTACTTGGTCAGAGAAGCCAGCCCGCGGGACCACATCTACGTTATAGCCTCCCTCCTGGGCCCAGTCAGTGATCCCAGAGGCACCTCTCCTAGGTGATCCTAGAGCCCACCAAGCTGACCATAGGCGTTAATTACCAGCTGTCGTTCCTTCTTTGTGGCTAGTTAGACCCATCCTTTCTTCCTCACCGGTCTGAATCTCTCTTTGCTTCTTTTTCCCGTTAAACTCTTAAGATGGAGAATGCCTGGCACAGTGGCAAGGAAATGAGCTCTCAGCCGTTGCTGCCAGCCAGTGACTGCAACAGAGGTTGGCATGCACTCACTGAACCGAATCGGCTAGAAAGGAAGAGACAGACTGATCTACGGAACAAGTCAGTCTGTTGTCGGAAAGGTCTCCAGCATGCCTCAGTTGTAGGCATCTCTGTGGCCTTGGGCTCAAAGTCCAGTGCTGAGGGAAGGAAGACTGTGACTTGTGAGTGGGTTAGCTGCTTTTCTTTGTAACTGAACACCTTACAAAAGCAACTTACTGAAGGAAGAGTTATCTTGGCTCTGAGTTTGAAGGTCTGATTTCTCCGTCTGGGCCCCGCTTACTTGATGGGTTTGAAGATATCTGACAATTTGTGCCCAAAGACCAGGAGGGCAAGATGGTTTAGGGTAAAGGTGCCTGCCAGCAAGCTTGATGACTGAGTCCCATCCTTGGGACCCACATGGGGAAGAGGAGGACCCCATAAGTTGTCCTTTGTCCTCTGCTTATATGCCAAGGCACACATGTTTGAGCACAAACTAAATAAATGTTTTTTTAAAAACAAAAGGACAAAGGAGAACAAATAAAACAAAAGAGAGATGAAGACCGAAACCCTTACATTCTGTGTATGTTACTGAAATAGGCAAGAGGAAGCAAACAAAGCTAACAGCCAGTGCAGGCAGCTTGTCCTTTAAGGGAAAGAGATATTCGTGAGAGTGTGAGGAGGACGACGAAGGCAGTCACAGGGCCTTCTTAGCCTTTCCAGCTTTCCTAAGTCCAGGCTCGGTTGCAGTGTGGCTGTGCACGTCCATGTGGAGACTCACCTCACTGAGGTAAATAAAAAAGGAGCAGGAGGTGCCGTCCACTCCATAGCCTGCGTAGCAGGGATCCGAGCGCCACATGTCTTTCATCCACTGCAAGGAGAGGAGAGGACATGGCTGAGGAGGGCTGAGGGGACAAAGGGGATAGTGGGGTAGGTGGCTCAAGCGGTGACCCATGGGTAGAGCAAACCAAAAGTCCCTGCGCTCGGGGCCAGGTGCCCAGACGCTCAGCATCTAGAGAACTGAAGTAGATGCCTGCCCACGCTGAGGAGCTCTGTGCAGAGAGCAGTGGAGGCAAAGACCAATGGGGTCCTTCCATGACACCCTAGGGAGGTGCCATAGCCGAAGCCAAGGGCCCGCAGTGCAGAACACAGGCCAAGTACCACAGAAATGTCAATGAGCACTTGTAGCTGCCCCCAAAGACACCAGGGAATGTTCCTAGAATGTTCTCACCATGCTTAATGAGTACTTGAATGACACCCTTTCTGTGATCACCACTGGCCAGGAGTGGTCTCCCGGAACAGGCCAAACAAGTATGATTGTTTTTTTCTTTCCAAAATAATAGAAGACAAAACAAAAAGGTCAGGAGTCCAGCTGCTGGTAACAGTGGCTCTGGGAACAGCCAGGTCAGACTACTGTGTGAGCTCTCAGCCAATAAGAGACCCTATCTCAAGGGAGAGGTGGATGGTAACCAAGGAATATACAAAGTTGTCCTCTAGCCTCCATACATACATGTACATACATGTTCATCTGTATAGATTACACATAAAAGGCCAGGAGGCTGCTCAGTATGGAGCACTACCTAGAATTATGGAGAGCTTGGGTTTGATCTCAGAGTTAAGAATGGTCAAGTGTCTCTGGGCACTCATTTGCATATGCAAATATGACATTTATACCACAATCTGGACATGGAACAGGACTCAGGGGATCAGGGAGAGGGAAGGATTCTAACTAAGGATCACCTGGAAGCAAAGGGCTGGGAAGGATACAGTGGACACCTGAAGTGGTCCAGGTTCTCGGTGTGACTAGGGCGAGCCTGGCTGACCCACTCCATGGCAGGGGCAGAGCAGAGAAGGACCATCCACCAGCAATATGGAAATACCTGGGAAGGACCTGCTTCAAGACTCAACTGTCCTCTTGTGTCTTTGGAAAGGGAAAGAGATGGAGGGTGATGAATAGGTAGCTTCTGCCTTACCTTGATTTTCCCCTCACAGTGAGGGTAGCCATCCATAGGAGGCAATACACATTTTTCTTGAACTCCATTAATGATATCTGCAAAGAATAAGAAACAAAGGAAACCATGAGATCCAAGATACAGACGCCCAACATCACAGCCTGCATAGGCTGAGAGAAGAACTGAGACAGAGAAGTCTACATGGAGGCAAGGTTCTGATCTAATGACCTTGACATTTTATTTAGAACTGAATGGCATCCGATAGGTTAAAGGTAGCTGGTTATCTTCCCATTACTGTTTTAAAGGGGTAGTGGGAAGATAAGACAAAAATGGGCTTATAGAACTCCTCCAAACGTAGGAACTATGGCCATCTGTCCTCTCACTGGCAACTGAGCCAAATCTCCCTGTCTAACTCTGTTGCCAACAGCAAGGATAAGCATCTTCAGGAGGGAAGGTGACACTTTGCCCCTGGCACCTCAGACATACTTCCTCTCAAAAGGTACAGGGTCTTCCAGCAACTGCTTTGGGTGCACAATAAGGTAGTGTTTCTCCTTGGATACCCGATAGTAGTACACGGCCACCTTATCAGATGGCCCCTGCAGAATGCACCCACATGAGTTCCACCACTGTTCCAGTGTGTGGCAACAGCCAGAAGCCAGGAATCTCTACATTTGGTCTGGAAATACAGCTCTTGCCAACACCTTCATTGCCAGCTTGGCTTTAAGAACCAGTAGCGACGAATCAGAGGGAATTGGCCACAGGGAAAAACCATCTCCCATTAGTAATGTTCTCATGCAACTCATTCTCTGATTGTCAAGTCTTTGTCTAGCCCCACTTTACATCATGAGAAAAGTAGATTTCTACAACTAAGACCTAGACAGATATTTTAGTAACGTTTCTGCTGCTGTGATAAAACATCCCACTCAAAGGCAACTTGGAGAAAAAGGGGTTTATTTGGCTCACATCAACTGAGGGAAGCCAAGGCAGGAACTCAAGCAGGGCAGGAATCTGGAGGAAGACGCTGAAACAGAACCACGAGTCAACCCTGCTTACTGGCTTGCCCCTCATGATTTGCTCCACCTTCTTTTTTATACAACTCAGGACCACCTTCCCAAGGCTGGCACTGCCTGCACCTATCATTAGTTAAGACAATACCCCATAGGTTTTCCAACAAGCCAACCTTATGAAGGTTTTTCTCAATTCCCTCTTTCCGGATACGCTGAGGTTTGTGTTAAGTTGGAAAGCACCAATTAGCACACCATATATTCTAGGTAGAAGATCTTAAGGCCGCAGGAAGTTCTCTACTCCCAAATGGACTGGAGAAGCCAAGGCTGCTACAAAATCTACTTGCAGCCTCACAGGGGACACACGGGTAGAGTGTCCCCTGTTTGAAATGCTTGGCATACTCTGCTTCAGACTTCATGTGTGCACAGACTCAGCGTTAGGTTGTGCATTCCTAAGGAATATCCCAAATCACAAATGTTCCCAAATTAGAGCTTCTATTCAGAATAGTTTTATCTTTATAATTTATTTAAGCTCTCATTCATGCACACATTGATTGCATGCTGTGTATACCCCCCTCATGCTCCATCACCCCCACTTTTCTGGCCTACTTCTCCTATTTCCCTCTTTGTCTAAGACAGTTTTATTTCTTTCATATCTCATATGTTTACACGTACACATAGGACTTTCTGTATCTGGGTGAGATCTAGAAGCACAAATGAGAGAAAGCATGGCATATTTGTGAGACCAGCCTAGCTCTCCCAATATGATTCTCTCAGGTTGCATTCTTCTTCATAACGTGCCATCAACCTTTGTGGCACTTTGAAAAGCATGATTTGTAGTTCATTGTTTTTATGGGTTCTAGCTTAAAGCAATCCTCAGCATTGTTTTTTTTTCCCAGGAGACTTCTTAACAGCATTATTTGCTGACCCTCTACTTTTTCCTGATTCATAAAACTGGAGCCTGGAGAGATGAAAACAATGCCAAGTTCAATGAGGAAACAAAACCCAAACTCATTAAGCCATGAATCTACGCCATAGGAATTTTCCCTTTGGGGTATGTACATGTGTTTGAGTGTGAGTCTGTGTGTCAGTGTACATGCCAAACATGCCATGTGGAGGTCAGAGGACAGTCTCAGGTCGTTTAAGACAGGATCTCTTATTTGCTGCTGCATATTGCCAGACTAGCTGTTCCCTGAGCTCCCGGGGATTCTCCTGTCTTCACCCTGAATCTTGCTGTAGGAACACAGGCATTACAGACATGCACTACTGCACCCAGCTTAACATAGGTTCTAGGGAGTGAACGCAGGTCCTCATGACTGTGTGGTAAGTGCCTTGTTCACTGAGCCATCTCTCCAGTCCAGATTTTCCTTTCAGGTCAAGATTATTTCCACCCAGCTGTGTCTAGGTATTCATAGGCACACCACTATAATCACTTCATTCTTGTTCTGTATGGGAAATGTGAGCAGTGAGTGTGGAGGAGTAAATTGACAAAAGTATTATTCTGCTTGGACAGGCATCTTTGCTGGTCTCCCGGGCTAGTTAAGTAAGAACCTGAAGCTATAGTATTGCCTGTGTGAAAATACTATGGAAACAGACAGAGAATTACACGAAAACACATTGCTGGAGAGATGGCTCGGCACGTAAAGCAATTGTTGTACAAGAGTGAGGACCAGAGTTTAGATCCCCAGCACCCATGTTCGTGTCAGGCAGGTATGATGGCCTGCCTCTAATGCCAGTGCTGTGAAGCTGGAGACAGGGGATTCCCAGAGCATGCTGGCTAGCTAGAGCAGCCAAACTGGTGTTTTCAACTTGCTTCAAGTAAGAGGCTCTGCCTCAAACTGCAAGATAGAGAGTAATCAATGAAGACATGTGGCATCAACCTCTTGCCTCCACAGGCATGCAGACATATACATCCCCACATATGTGTATGATGACATGCATGGGAATACGCATAAACACACGCCCACACTGGACACATATCTTCATAACCAAACAAAATTTCCAAAAACAATTGAGCCAAATCATCACACACTATTTATACTTCCTTTTGTCATGGACCCTGTTCTTAGTTTCTTGCAAGATTATTCATGCTTCTCAGTATTAGTAAGCAGTGAAATCAGGTAAGGCACACTGCTGAAGAGGGACAAGTCAGGGACACGGATGTCAGCCTGATGTGTGTTCCAAAATCAGAGTGCTTTACTAGAATAAGCCCAGCCCTGCTGGGTGAAGGCAGTCAGTTACTGCTCTAGGTCTAAGAGAGTGGAGAGGAAAGGCAATTAAAGAAAGCCAAGGACACAGGGAAGAACTATGATCGGACAGCTGAGCAGGCACTACAAGCTAAAGGATCATGAATTCCAGGCTCAGGACCCAATGTTTCGATTACCACTGCAGTCAATGGGAAAGTTGCCTATAATTGTGTAGTTTGGACAAGCAACCAACACTCATTGATTAGAAAAACAAAAGTGAAATCTGACAATCTCATTTGGGATGTTAAAGATAAAGCCACATTAAGGATAAGAACACGCTGTATGCTAAAAGAAAACTGCCACGTAAGATCTTCACAGCTGAGCAGAATTTTGTATCTAACATAAATTGTCCATGAGTCAAAATTCATCTTATGCCGGTAGCTCGGCTGGTAGAGTGCTTGCATGCACAAAGGCCTGGGTCCCATCCCCAGCACCACAGAAAGCAGGCGTGGTTACACACCTGTAGTCCTAGTATGAGGGAGAGGAAGGCAAAGGATCAGGAGCTCAGAGTTACCCTTAGCGACACACGAGTTCATTCCAGCTTAACAGTTACAAGCGATGGAGCCCAGCCTGGTGAGGAAGAACTTATGTCAGGACCTAGGCTGGCCAGTTCACAGGACCTCCTCACACAGGAGGAGAGAGAAAACAGGAAGTAGTGCCAGGATCGTAAACCCTCAAGGCCCTCCCCTAACAACTCTAATGACACACTTCTGCCAGCAAGTCTCCACTTCTAAAAGTTTCACAGCCTTCCCAAACAGCGCCACCAGCCAGGAAGCCATATCCTTAACGACTGAAACAGATTATAAAAGATGATTCCCATGCCAACCACAAGCGTGGCCTATACACCAAACCCCCAAGAGCCTCTTTCTTCACTCAAGAATTGTTGCAAAACTTTCTAAGGACTCAGCCACCCTTCCTGGGCCAGGTACTGTGACCTGCAGTCACACAAGACCTCATTCAGCATCAGGATAAGAGTGACAGCAGTCCCTGGGCTGCACAGCATGAAACACAGCGTAGAGGTATCTCCCCATCATTTACTCTCCCGCTGCGTTCTATTCCCCTACAGAATGGATGTTCACTGTGGCTGTCTTGCCACCCCTAGTTAGTTTTATGTCCCAGTGCCTGTGGGTGGAAGGTAAGGGACACCGAGATTACAACACTTTAGATTTGCGCAACCAGAGAAGCTTGGATTTTTGTAAATGAATATAATAGTGTTATAGCACAAACTTGTGTGAATAGATTCCCATAGCTCTGGGGCTGGGAGAGAAAAACGGAATCTGTAATATGACGAGGATAAGCAGAGTCCTTCCTCACAAATCTGCATCACTCATCTCTATGTAAATGGCATTTTCTGTAAGTATATACCTAGTTCCTTATACCATTTTTTTTCTGCAACAAAATGTTCTTCAGTATTTTAAGCAACAACGGAAAGAACATGAAATATCCTACACGGGTATCCAGTTACAATAAATGGGCAAGGCAGTCACTATTATAAATCAGGAGAATGCTAGCTTTATATTTCAAAAACATTTTTTAAAGTTACACTTATATTCATATATTCACATATATACATATATATATTCCCAGAAAAATAGCTTCTCTACATAATATTTAAAAAATAAGATATAAACTGACAGATTGAGGCATTCTCTGCTGTCAACTCCAATGAGACTATGAAACCAGGAAGTAGGTAGAAAATATCAAGAATCAAGCTGATCCTGGCAAACGCTGGATGGCATTCTCCAGTTGCACCGTAGGGGATTTTTATGACTACACTCCTTTTTCCACAGAAGAAAGGACAAGGGCCTTTCTGAACCCTGTAATCCTCACAGGTAGGTTTCTGGAGGA